TGGTAGTACTACAATATCATGCCTAGAAAAATTCATTGTGTTGTACTTAGTTAAAATTAGTAAGTGTAATGTGACACTACAGTGTGATGCATGGTATCCAAAGTCACATGGTAAAACTGACTGAAGACCTCATGCTGACTTTTTATTTAGTGTAAGGAAAACTCAGCTGATAATGAGACTTGGCAGGTGGCTGTCAACACCACAACAGAACCCTTCATGAGGAGGATCAGTTGTTTCAAGTCACAGCTTTTGGTTCAGACAGGCAAAGGGCTCCTTGTGTCTGGTGGAATGAATGGTTTGCTGTGCTAGCTGGTCTGAGGCTAAAGTTATTATTTGTTAGCTTCTTAGGGCTTCGCTTGTGGGGACAGCTCCTAGGAGGGCACTCTTGACTGCCCTGAGTGTTTGGGGCAGAAAGTAGAAGTTTAAGTGAAAATGGAGGCCTAAGGTTGAGGTGCCTTCTCTGAACACACCCGCATAGCCGAGGCCGAGCAGCCCCCGGACACTCAGGACCTGGCTGTGACCTCACACAGGTGCCCTGGTTCCCCTTCTCAGGATGTAAGCAAGCCCCAAGGGTTCAGACGGCCCAACTTATGGCTTCTCCATAGTCTCATGGTACCCTCTGGGGTACCGTAGCCAGATAAAATATGGGACCCCCTATTTATATTTGAATTTCAGATAAATAGCAAAAAATATTTTAGTATGAGTCTATCTTGTGCAGTATTTCCATTCATTTTGATGTATCAGTTGCTGACATCCTGCCATATTTACTTGATCTTCCCAATACACTTTTTCTTGAATTATTTGAATATAAGTTGCAGGCATCACATGCTTTTCCCCAAAATCTTTCAGCATGCATCTCCTAAGAATTAAAGCATTTTTGACATAGCCCATCCAATATTTGAGACATAGTTATACTTACACATTATTTGTCATTTGTCTGAAATTCAGATGTACCCAGGTATTTATCCTGTGTTGTTATTGGCTAAATCTGGGGTGTCCACAGACCTGGGATTGGTCGGGTTTGCTTTAACTCATTGGCTTTGTGGCCACCATTTCTCTGTCTGCAAAATGGGAGATTTTATCTCATAGGGCCAGTATAAAGTTCAGACATAATGTACATAAAGAGCCGAGTGTGGTGACTCACTCCTTTAATCCCAGGACCTTGGGAGGCTGAGGTGAGAGGATTGCCTGAGCCCATGGTTTCAAGACCAGCCTTAGCAACGTGGCAAGACCTCATCTCTACAATAACAAAAAATTACTCAGGCATGGTGGCATATGCCTGTAGTTCCAGCTACTTGGAAGGCTGAGGCAGAAGGATCATCTGAGCCCAGCAGGTTGAGGCTGCAGTGGTCATGAGCATGTCACTGTACCCCAGCCTGGGAACAGAATGAGACTCCCTGACTCAAAAAAAAAAAAAAAGTACTCAAAGCCTCCCACACAGTGCCTGACTTTAGTAGAGTCTCAAGAGATTGCAGCTGGCAGTGGTAGTAGTGGTGACCGTCCTCTGAGCTGAAACACAGGAAGAGATAAAAATAAAGATGCAGCTGCTTTAGAAATGTTGGCAGCTGTATTTACAACTTCTCTCTGTTTTCCCATTCCTTTCTCCTTCCCTGCTTAGTGCGTCTGTCTGTCTCTGTCTGTCTCTCTCTCTCTCTCTCTCTCTCTCTCTCTCTCTCTCTCTCTCTCTCTCTCTCTCACACACACACACACACACACACACACGTATGCAGGCATGCACGGTACACTACATGGTCTGCTCTGGGTTATACAGAGGGTTTCTTGGTCAAAAGAGATTCATTAAAAGTTCAGGAGCCAGACACAGTGGCTTATGCCTGTGATCCCAACACATTGGAAAGTGGAAGCGAAAGGACTGCCTGAGCCCAGGGTTCGAGACCAGCTCGGGCAACTTGGTGAGACCTTGTCTCTACAATAAATCAAACAAATTAGCCGGGCATAGTGGTGCATGCCTGTGGTTCTAGCTACTTGGAAGGCTGAAGTGGAAGGATCGCCTAAGCCTGCAGATCAAGGTTGCAGTAGCCATGAGCTTACCACTGCACTCAAGTCTGGGAGAGAGTGAGATTCCAACTAAAAAAAAAGGTTCAGGAAAAGCCAGCACTCTTGAGGGCAAGATTTGAATGGAATAAAAGGGGCTACATGAATTTGTCTGGATGTTGTTGACTCAGCCTGGACACAGCCAAGCAGAGAAGGCCAAGGGGTGGAGGCAGACAGAAGGAGGACCCCAGGCTGCAACACAGTCTGGATCAGTTGTGGCCCTGGCTAGCTGTCAAGGACTGTTTTTATTATTGTTGTTAGTCTATTTTTTTGTGTTGTTTTGCTAAGGAGATGTGTATAAATGTTTGTTTCTAGCCTGAAGGTTAGAGGAATAAGTTCAAGGCAGACTATTTGCATGTGTCAGAACAGCTGGGTTGAACCCTCCTTCTGAAAAGGGCACTCCTTCTTTCTGGAAGCTCTTCCACTTGTCTTTGGACTTTTGGTTGCCTAAGAGGTAGAGGCAAAGCAGATGACATCTTCTCAGGGGTGAGCTATCCATCCATTTCAAACTAGGCAACATCCACTCAGGGGTGGGCCATCCGTTCATTGCAAACCAGGCAACATCCGCTCAGGGATGAGCTGTTCATCCATTGCAAACCAGGTGACACTACTCAGGGGTGAGCTGTCCATTCATTGCAAACCAGGCGACATCCACTCAGGGGTGAGCTGTCTGTCCATTGCAAACTATACAACATCCACTCAGGGGTAAACTGCCCGTCCATTGCAAACCAGGTGACATTTACTCAGTGGTGAGCCATCCATCCATTGCAAACCAGGTGACATTTACTCAGTGGTGAGCCATCCATCCATTGCAAACCTGGCAACATCCACTCAGGGGTGAGCCATTTGTCCATTGCAAACCAGGTGACATCTATTCAGGGGTGAGCTGTCAGTCCATTTTCACTTCTGATTCCTTCAGGGTTCATAATTATGGGATAATTTTCTTCACATGAACAAAGAAATAAGACCTCAAGTCTTTTCTCGCCCTGAAATTCTGCACACACTCTGATGCTGTTGGGAAAGATTCGCCAGGAGCCCAGAGTGCTATAGCCATCCTGACAGGAATAGGAAGAGAAGCTCAGGTCAGCTGAGTGTGGGCTGCTCCCAACTCTTGCAGCAGAGCTGAGCGTGGCTTGTGCAGCAGCAAGCTGGCCTCAACCCTGCAGGAGCAGAGCCTGGCTCATGGCGAGGTGGGGCTCCTTGCACCCATCCCTCCCTGCATCAGGGCCCAACAGAAACACTGTGGACAAACACTGTAGAACAAAGAAGACAAGAGAACCATTTTTTTCTGCTTCCATAAGTAATTTATTTCTGTTGCAAAAATCCAAACGAAAAATGGCAGACAATAAAAGATCCCTCCAAATTCTGACCTGATTATAGCAGTGGTCCATATTTTCAACACCCCAGGTTAACTCCTGCCCACATTTTGGTTTGTTTATTTTCAGCCTGTGCTTTCATTTTTCTTGTGCACATCAGTGGTTTCTGCTGTAAAAATACAAGGTTTTTCTCCATGAACAGCCTGAGGACCATTGGGACGACCAGGTACTGGGTTTCTGCCCATCAGTCCTGGGTACCGTATTGGTCAGGCCTCTTCTGCAATGCTGAGTAACAAACAACCACCCTGTCTCCTTGGCTTATAACACTCATGAGTGTACAGGCTGCCTGCAGCACAAGCTTGGCTGGCTCAGCTGGACAAGGCTGGACTCCAGGCTTCTGGTCTACACATCCTATTTAGGACTGAGGCTGAAGGACCTACAGCTGCCTGCGGCCTGGTCTGCTCTACTCCAAGATTTCGATGGAAACTGCCACGTGTGTGAATGCCTTCGCTTCAGATAGATGCCTTGCTGGTCCACCCATATTCTGTTGGGCAAATCTAGTCAGCTGGCCAAACCTGAAGTCAGGGGTGGGAAAGAAATACTCCTGCCATGAGGGAGCCTGGTGCCTGAGTTTGCCAGGGCTGCCAGAGTTAATCCCACAGACTGGGTGGCTTCAACAGCAGAAATTTAACTCATGACTCTGGATGCTGGAAGTGTGAGATCAAGGCATTGGCTGTTAATTTCTTCTGAGACCCCCTCCTTGACTTGTAGATGACTGTCTTCTCCCTGTGTCTTCACATTGCCTTCCCTCTATGCATGTCTGTTGTCCCGGTGTCCTCCTCTTAAGGACACCAGTCATGTTGGATTAGGGCCCACCCTATGACCTCATTAAACCTTCATTAAGACCCTTCTCCAAATACACATTCTGAGGTACTGGGGATTCAACTTCAACAGACGAATTGGCCCTGGGGGTCCATAATTCAGCCTGTGACACACAATAAGGGAGGTAGTGAAGGAAAGATTGTGAACAGAAAGCTCAAGTCTGCCATAGTTACTTAATGCCAGTGAGGCTTGGCTTCCTTTGAAACAGGGACAGGCATCTCCATGTTAGCATTTTGGGGACTGAATAAGAAAAAGCTTGGGAAGCCTGGGGCACGGAGGTAGTAGCGATGGGCATGGTTCTATTTCAAACAGAAGGATGGAAACTGGCCTTCTTGGGCCTGATTCCTTGCTCTTCCTTTCCTTGGGCAAATTGGTGCTTTTCAGGAGAGCCTAACTTGCACAGAAGCTGTACCATCAATGGAGTCTTCAAAACTAGCAAAGCCAGTAGGGCCTTCAGGAACTCAACTGACAGCCTGGGCTTTGGTAATACCATGCTTTCTCCATTGAGCTATGTCTCTGGCAGTCTTCCTTTTCAAAAATTTATTGGAGGCCTTCTATGACTTAACAGGGCTTTGGTCCCTTTTGGTGTAAGAGATGGCCCTGTTCTCAGGAGACTGCAGTGGAATGCCTGGAAATGATGAAAATAAGGGAACTGGGGGTGAGAGCCGGGAGTGTCTTTCCCGCTGCCTCTTGTGTTGACAAATGGCTGCCTTGCATCTTGGTGAATCTCCTTTTGGTTTTCTTCCCTAGAATACTGTGTTGAGAAATGGCACCGCAGTCTTCGACTCCTGGGAGAAGCCCCCTCTGCCCGTGTACATCCAGTTCCCTTTCTTCAATATCACCAACCCAGAGGAGATCCTCAGAGGGGAGACTCCTCAGGTGGAAGAAGTGGGGCCATATATCTACAGGTGAGTCTTGACCAGCCCCCTGCCATGCCAGAAACATGACAGAAATATGCCATGCCAGAAACATGGTGCCACTATAGCCGCCAGCACTGCTCCAGGGCTGTGCACGGAGGGGTGCAGGTTTCTGGCCCATTCCGTCTGAAACACTGCTGGTGTTTTGCATGCATGTATTATGCCTCAACAAAGAATGGGTTTGTGGACTGGCTGAGCCCGAGAGTTGTGTTGAGAAATTCAAGGACTCCCTCCCGAGTTGGCAGAATGTGGTCATCGAGCCATCCATGGCCCACCCTTGCATATTTTTCCAACCCCAAATTTGATCTTGCTGAGCCTCTCTTTATATACATTTAAAAATAATATAAAGTATATTAAAATATTAGCAACATAGATTCATGTGAAAATATGCCACTGGCTAATTCTTTCTACTTCATTTTGGGTTATTATTGAATTTGATTAGGTACATCACTTTAGCTAAAGAAAAGGATCATTCAAAGAGCATTCCCCTTCAAATCTTCACTAAGGACTGCAAGAAATGTGCCTATGTAAGTGTTTTTAAGACAAAAAAATTAAATTACAAGTTTCTGACTTAGGCAGAATGAAAGAGAGAGAGAGATAGAAATAGAGGGAGAGATGATAGAGACGGGAGAGGGTAGCAGAGATGAAGAGAGAAGAGAGAGAAAGAGCATTTGGAAAGTGCTGTGTAAAATTTAAAAATAAAATGAAGTATCATGTGGAAAAGTATATGCTTATGTATGCATATGTGTGTATTTGTAAGTATAAAGAGTAAATTCTAGGCAATGGGAAGAAAGAAGAATCCATGTTAATTACAGTGTTTAAGCTTGAAGGGAATATTGCGTGTTCAAAATCCATCAACTCTAGTGATTTGTTGTAATAAAGTGATTTCCACAAGCTGATATTTCTCGTTAAAATTAAACTATTTTTTTTCCAGTTTTCTCTGCTTACATACAAAGTGATTATGGTGGTTTCTAATGTTTTTATAAAAGCTCATTTATTTTATTTTAAAATGTTTTCATTTATTTGGAAATAACTGCAAACATACAAAAAAGTACAAAATATTAACACAACTGTATACCGTTTTCCAGATTTATCTGTCCAATAACAGATTACCACATTGTTTTATCAGTTATTTTTATACTGCCTCTGTGTCTTTCTTCCTCTATAAATGTGTTGTGTATATACCTACTTTTAAAGTTATATACACCATGGCTTTTTATTTTAAACACACATTTCCTAAGAATAAAGTTATTCTCTTTTATATAACCTCCACTTGGTTATCAACTTAAGTAAATTTAACTTGATATCATATTTTAATCTATTCATAATCCAGTTTTGTCAGTTGACCCCAAATATGTTTTCAGCACAGGATTCACTCTGGGGTCAGATAGTGCATTTAGTTGTTATATCAAATACAGAGCAGTTTTGAAGGTTTTTCATTCCAAAGAATGTTGGGATTGAATTGAGCTAAGAGGGATAACACTTTTAAGTGATGTGTCTACTTTATTTCTTCTTTTGGAGAAAAAAGCCCAAACCTTCAGCTTTCATTGTGCAAATATTGATATCTGAATTGTAGTGCAGTAGCCATGTGTTCATAATGATGAATAGGGTATTCTACATATTTTTTATGGCACCTTGTTTTTAAAGCAGCTCTAGGTCAAACACAATAGTATTTGTAGAAGGTAAAAAAAAGGGGGGAGTTCCAAAAAACTAAATCCTGTTCAATAGCCAAAGTCAGGCAAATATTCTGACTTATTTTTAAGTACCGGAAGTATTCATTTCTTGAGGAGGATAAGACTACAGAGTTCTCCTGTAGGGGAGCACACTCTTGTCTGCCTGCTTTGAGTTCAGTTGTGGCAAAGGCTTACATTCCAAATTTTTCATGGGCAATTTTCCTGAAATGTTATTTATTTATTTTTGAGTCAGGGTCTCACTCTGTCACTCAGGCTGGAACACAGCATCACAATCATGGCTCGCTGCATTCTCAACCTCCTGAGCGCAACCATCATTCCACCTCAGGCTCCAGAGTAGCTGGAACCACAGGCACACATCACCATGCCTAGTGAACTTGTTGTTGAGACAGGTTCTCACTATGTTTCCTAGGCTGGTCTTGAAGTGCTGGGCTCAAGCATTCCTCCCACCTCAACCTCATAAGGTGATGGGATTACAGGTATGAGCACCCAGACCTCCCCAATATTTAAAGAAACAACTTTACTTACATATAATTTATAAGAAAGACGCTTGCCTAATATTGTGAATGCTCCAAGTTTTCCTCTAATACTGTTTCATTTCATCCTATGGAAACTTTTCATACTATTTCTTAGAGTGTAGATCTGGTATCAACATATTTTCTTAGTTTCTTTTATCTAAAAATGTTTTAATCTCACCTATAGTCTTGAAGGACATGATCACCAAATATAGAATTTTGTTTAACAGTGTTTTCTTTTCAGCATTTCAAAGATATTTCACTGTTTTTTATTTTTGTTTGTTTTTTGTCTCTGCACTTTCTAATGAGTAGTCTGTGATCATTCAACATTGATCCTCTCTCTGTGATTTTTTATTTTGACTGCTTCTGAGATTGTCTCTTTATGTTTTGCTTTTAGCAGTTTGACTATGATGTGTCAAAGCATACTTTTCATTGAATCTATTCTGTCTGACATTTTCTGAATTTCTTGAAGTTGTAAATTTTTATCTTTTGTCAAACTTGGGAACATTTTAGCCATTCAAGACTTCTTTTTATCCCCATTTTCTCTTTTCTCACGTTCTCGGATTCCAGTTACACATACCTTCAAACTTATTGAAGATTATTTTTAATTGGCACATAATTGCACATATTTATGGAGTACACACTAATGTTTTGATATGTACAGTCTATAACGATCAGATCAGTGTAATTAGCATATTCATCATCTCGAACAGTCTATAATGATCAGATCAATGTAATTAGCATATTCATCATCTTGAACAGTGCTGGGGACACTCAGTATCCTCACTTCTAGTTATTTGGAAATATACGTTTTTGCTAACTATAGTTCTCCTACAGTGCTATAAAGCATAGGACTTATTTCTCCTGTCTAGTTTTAATTTTGTATTCTTAACAAATCTCTCCCTATCCCTCCATTCTCCTCACCCTTACCAGCCCCCAGCAAACTCTGATCTCCTTTTTACTTCTGTAAGATTAACTTTTCTTTTTTTAGCTTTCACATATGACTGATAAGTTGCAGTTATTAAACTTGCCAATATTGTCCATAGGTACCTCAGGTTGTGTTACTTTTTTCAATCATTTTTTTTCTTCTTGTTCAGACTGGATACTTTCAGTTAGTTGACTTATATTCAAAATCACTGATTCATTAGTCATCTCAATTATGCTACTTTTCCCGTGCAGCAAATTTTTTCCAGCTATTTCTCAGATCTAAAATTTACATTTTAAGTATTTTTATGTCTATGTTGAGAGTGTGTTTCCTAGGAACTTATTTTCTTTTACATAATTGAGCCTAATTATAATAGTTACTTTTTGTCGCATAATTTGAACATCTAGATGATGCATCTTAAAGTTGGCCTCACCTGATAATTGGTCACATTTTCCTAGTTCTTCATGTATCAAGAAACACTTTGGCTCATGTGGAAAAAAGTCACATTTCCATTTAAAAAAATTATTTGATAATTTTATATTTTAGAGTTACTTGTTTACAAAGCGCTCTATGTACTGAAGTTTATCTTTTTTGTCTACAAGGAGAACAACATCAGGAAGAAATACACATATCCTTATAATTATTATTTTGAATCTAATATGTTCCTTATACAATGAAAGCCCATTGTCCTATAAACCACATAAAGAAAGGCAGGAATACTATTCTTTCAAAAGATTTTTTCTTTTTTTTTTTACTTTACAAAAGACTTTATGGTAGAGTTTTAAAATTATATGGAAGGACCTTCAGAGATTTTCTAAAACTAGCAGAATTCTTACTTCTAATTAAACCCCTAGTTAAAGCCAAATGTTTGCACCCTTCTAGACACTTGAACATGAGAAGCTTCTAACAACGCTGAGTATGTTTGTCTCAGCCCTACTTTTGTGTTCTGAGATACTTTTACACAATTCTTGGGGCTACAAGCAACACAGTTTGAAATAAATAAATTTAAGATGTCTTTGTTTATAAAAATACACATGAGTCATGTTAATCAGGCAATGAGAAAAAGAATACAGTGAAAGGGAAAGTAATACTTTTTAAGAGGTTTTTTTTTTCTTCATTTTTAAGGTCCATGGGTATTGACTTGTGCTGTTTATTTGTCCTTTTGAAACAGGTTTATCAGCAGACACAGCCCTTACTGTGGATTTATTACAAGACCTATATGCATAGCAAATCTTCTTGGTTACATATTATCTTATTTTAAAATAATGCCTTTTTAAATTCAGAGTTAATAGCTATCATCTCAGTATTCTATTAATTCTTTCAGTTTATTTTCTGAAAATTATCTCCTAATTTTATGCAGCAGTTTCTCAATCCGAGTTGTATAGAGAACTATTACAGAAACCCTATTCAGTGGAAGAGTTGGGAATTAAATTTAAATTTCTAACATTTTAATTTAATTATCTCAATCAACTTCAATAATATAGATCTTAGTAGCCATGATGTCTGACATGAAGTGTTGGGAGCCAGCCTTGGAGGTCCACCTGGTTGACAGGGTCCTGGTGGGGTGAAGACCCCGGGCCGCAGGGCGAGCATGGGAAACTGAGACCCTTCTGTCTTCCACCTTTACTGTTTGGTATCACCGAAGAATTCTGTGCAGTCGTGGAAGAAGAAAATGGCATGTTTATGCAAAGTACTCACAGCTAACCTGAGAATGTCATGGCTCATTTTTCCATTTCCCACTATGCCGTTTGGCCTTTTCTAACATATGCAAGGGTTAAACTCTGAAGCACATCAAGAATGCTTTCTTCCACTTGGTTATAGGTTACTAAATATTGCTTAAATAATAAATTATATAAGTATATTCACTCATTTGATTTAGGATTATGCAGCTTAGTGTTTAGACATAAGGTTTTTTAGAGGCACAAGTTTATAGTCAGTTCATTATGAATTCATTATAAGTTCTAACACTTATCTAGGAGTTATGTAGTTGATTTATAACACTGTTTTCACTGACTTAGGATAAAGATTAATCGTTAAGGTTTTTACTTAATTCAATAGTTAAAACTCTAAGTTAACATTTATAGAGTGGGTTTTCACTAAGTTCATAATATACTAATCAAACACTTTTATGACAGATTAGCTAAAGACAGAAAGCAACCTTGGGGGCCTGGGAAACATTACTAAAAGCTTCTTTTGAGTTCTCTTTAGAAATAAGCACTGTAGGATAAGAGAAAAGTAACAGAGACACCTGGACAAGAAAGGCAAATACAAGCTCTCAAAGTCATAAAGCCCCAGAAGGAAAACTACTGCTACATGAACTTTACACTTGGAAACTTTCTGGAGACAGTTCAAGGACTGTAATTCGGGACTTTGGACTAAAACTATCATCTTTGGCCTTATGAATAAGACTCATTGTCTGAATGTTTACAGGGTTCTTGGCTTGTTTGTACCACTAGATGGTGGTAACTTTTAGAGGATATGTATGTGAAGGAATTTTCTTTGTCTTGCCCCTTTACAACTGGTATAAAAGCTTTCCCTTAGCTAACATTAAACGTCATCTGTTCAGGAAGCAGGTGTCCGAGTATAATATTTTCGTCTTTCGCCTATCCGTCTCTCCTTCAGGAAATCTCACGACCCTTGTGGGGCTAGACCCCCATAATGAAGTACTCACTACATCATGGTTTAAAAAATTTCTTTCACAATCAGTTTCTATTTTGATTTTACTAGAAGTGAGTGCGTGATTTGCAAAGAAATAAAGTCATATGATAAAAACAAAGCCAGGAAGGAAGGGAAAGGCTCCATCTCCTCCTTTTAAAACTACTTTTAAAAAAATGTGTTTCTATTCAGGATTAGGTGCATATATGGTCATTGTACAGGTAAAGTCAGGCCTCCCTTTGGTCCCAACTTTGCCTGGTTTGAGATTGGGTACCCTTATTGATGTTATGTACCCCTCTTTGGTAGTTAGCCTTATGATACTGATTACTGGCCCAGCCCTGTGCCCTCTCTAAATTCCCAGTTTTCTCTTCTTGCCTCAGTAGTTAAATTTTGAGTGCCAGAAATCCTTTATTTTAAGAGAAATAAATGTTTTACTGAAATTCTTTTTACTGGCTCCATGTAATACAAAGGAATGAAGATGAATTAAGGATTCATATTCTACCTGTGCTTTCCTTTTCCATGACCTGGAAACAAGCTTTGCCTTTAGACTATGGATAATAATTTGACGATAATTATATAATCATATGCATTGGAATTGTTAATTTATAACAAAATTTCTTATTTCTCCTTTAGTCTGTAACTGTGACAGCAACAAATTCAGACACAGCAAATGACATAATCAACAAGGCACTACCTATGCTAGGAATAACTGTAAGTTACCTACAAGCCAATTTTGTTAAAAACCAACTTGGAAAAAAATAAACAAAAAAACCTTTGATTTTTGCATTCAGTATATTCAGATATGTGCATGTGCATACACACACGTGTTTTGTATCAGGTACCTTCCATCATAAGACAGCTGGTCATGAGATACATCAAAGTCATATTTTATCCCCCCACATTTAGGTTATGAGTTTATATGCAGGTGCTTTCTTGTATTCTCATGTTGCATTTTGTATGAAGTGAAAATGATAGCATAATAAAAGTGGGCTATCATTTTAGAATGCTAATAACAACATGAATTTTTATTATTTATATTATATACATATACAATAACATTTTTGAAAAATTCCTGATAAGAAAGTTCCAACCTCCTCTACTGCACTGTTCTTTGAACATCTTATCTCCTGGATTCTCAACTCTCATATGTTCTTACCCTAATGATCAACCAAGGACTCAATCTTAGTCCTGAAGGATATCTTTCACAAATTTTGACATAAAAAACACCTGACTCGAAGCCATTACCCCTGATGCTGGTCCCTGGAATGAGACAGCTGACACATCTAATGAATTGGTAAAGAAACAGATGAGGTTTGAATGAGTCAGTGGATTGAGGGGCATTTGTGTGCCCATTACTTTCATCCTGATTTGCTTTTAAGTATCTGTTCCTTTATGTTTTGGAGGAGCTATATAAATTGTTGAGTTTATTTTTTTGGTGGAGGAGGTGGGTATATTTGAAGATAAGGATGAGGGTTGCATAAGAGAAAAGAGGGAAGTCCACTTAATTGAGAATTTTATTAAAGAAAGTAACATTCAGATGGACAGAAGCTGAAGGAAGGGAATCACTTGTGTAGCGTGGCTCCTTAACATAAAACTCTCAATAATAAGCTTTGTATTTAAACGTTGTTTGACTGAATGATAAATTAAAGTCCTTTAAAAATTCAAAAAAAAAAAATTGGGCGCAACCAGAATTTGGCACAAGGAATCCATTATTTTTGTATTAGTGGAATTTAATAACATTTAAAAAATGAAATTGGATTTATATGAACTAAAAAAAGCAGACACTAAGAAAGAAAAAGCTGTATGCTGAACTGAATAAAAATTAAATATTGCAGGAGAGAGAGTAGTTTTACTAGTAGGATTGGGAGAGAGATTTAAATAAAATACAGCAACTTTTATTTCAAATCTGTAATTTTAAAAAATTGATAAGTCTCACCAGACAACAAAAAATTTCTATTTTAATGAAGAATTGAGGTGATTTGGCTATATAGATATGATTAGGTGGTTCCAAAATAAGTTTTCAACATTTATCTTACCATTTTTTAAATTAGGTCTTGCTTCCTATTTGAAATACAATTTTGATCTGATTAGCTCTATGTGTGAGAGTGACAAAATATTCACACCTGGGAAACCCCATAAAGACAAGGTCATGATTTTAATCAGGAACGAAGGCCAATCACATGACTTGTCACCAAGAACTCCATTAAAAACATATTTTTGCTTTTGCCTGTCCTGAAGGACTCTTTAAACTAATTTAGCAGAGTCTATATATACATTTAGATTTGTTTGTTTCAAGTGGGATTTCCAGTATTGCAGGGCAATAATTCAACTGGAGATTATTATTTCCTGCATCTGGCTTGTTCTCCAGGTTAGAGTCCTTGTCCCTTCCCTCCCCACAGTGGGGTTTTTCTGAGTGAAAACCTATGGGCTGACTTTGGCATCTCCTCAAGGCCTCTTGGGCACTTGTCTCCTTTTCCTCAGGGTTGCCGATCATACAATGTTTTACTTTGCTCAAGCATAGTCATGCAGGTGTATGGTCCTCTGGGGAACAGACTCATCTGGGTAGGGACATGTGAAAGCAAAGTTTATTTTCTGGAGAGAGTAGAAGACAGAACTATACAGATTAGATTTTTCTTTCTTAGTGAAGGAGCATAAATGTGATTTCTTATTGCATGGGTCACTCAGAAAGGGACTGATTGCACTGTGGCTTCATAGATCTATGACCTATCAGAAGGGACAAGGCGTGATCTGAGGTAGTCTTGGATGCTGGGTGGAGAACGGGGATTACTGAAATTAGCACTGTCTATGCAAAAATCGTGACCACAGTGAATTAAAAAGCATTTCCATTGGTCCTAATGCTTTTGTTTTTTCTTTTGAAAACATAGAAACACTGAGGAAATGTGTGCTTAAAGTATTTACTGTGAAAGATTTGTTGTAATGCTTAGTTATTTTATTTCCAAGGGCTCTGAGAAATATTACCAGTTGTGGGTCAGTTCTGGCAAGAAAGAGGCTCCATTCCCTCTCATTGGTAAGTCTCAAGAAAAGTCTAAAATTGGATTGATTTCATTCAAAATTTTAACTCTTAAGTCTCAAAGTATTGACTATGTGTTTTTAAGCTTAAACACTCTCAAAAGTCAAAATGTTATGCAATATTTATTCATATACTTAATAAATAATTGCCAAGTCCTCACTGTATCCCAGGTACTTGATAATATCTCTATTCAGCAAAACATGATCTACTTAGGAAAACGAAGGAATTTTTCCTGTTGAATTTCTTCCTTAACAAATAGCTTTCTTGAAAAAAACATGAATTGTTGATTCCAGTTTGAAGGCATCTGTGTCATTTTCTAACTACTAGGTAGCCTTTATTTTGTGAGGATCTTCTAAAATTCAGTCATGCTTCTGAATCCAAGTTTAAATATTTGTTTAACATCTGCTTAATGAATTTTTCTCAAGATCATAAAGATAGATCATGAGATAATCACATTCAGACTCCTGAAGTCTTCCCTGACTGATCAACCCATACTTTGCCATTTCTTAGATAGTGTTTTCTAGCATTTGTTCTTGAGGTTGTTGATAGGTTATACTTCTCCTAAAAATAATTATTAGAACAATTTTAGCTAAGAAAGAATAATTATTGGATCAGCAATTTTGCTCAGTGTGGTTAATAGAGACAGAGTGATTAAAATAGGAGGGGATAGGATCTGTAGCAGACCATGTGGCACAGTGATGGTGGTGCTTTCTGCTAGAAATCATAATAGGGCATCTCTTCTTATTTACATTATCTTTTTAAACCTTAGCAACAGTTCTATGAGGCCATTATTATGTAATTCAGGATGTTTTCAAGTGATCTAGAAACTCTGAAATGCCAAGTTTTTTTCCTATGTTATATACATACTAGTTTATAATCCAGAGTGTCTCCAAGTACATAGCTGAGAACGAAATCTACCCATTCACTTCATGGTCATTTTTTTCTAAGTAATGTTGTCATCTTTGTAAAAAATCTTTAGCAAAAAACCAAACCACTCCTGGAAATATATTTACTGTAATAAAATGCATTAATTTAGAAAAAATGCTGTCTAGATGATGGATAACTTTTAAACTGAGAGCTGCTTCAGTTACTGTGGCTAGCACTAAAGAATTCTGATAGTTTGTCACCCAAGATGGCCCTTGGGCACCATTCTGAATGCATAACCTGCTCTCAATTTTGAATTGTCAATCAACTCCTGATGGTCTTGATTTGATTTTAGTGTACTGCTGTCATGGAAGCTCTTTAGCCCTAGAAAATGGAAATGGTTTTAATTCTTGACCTGAGCAGAGCATGCTATCTCTGCCAGATGAAAAGTAATGGTAAGAGCTTACCAGTTCCATTTGGTGATCAATCAGAAATGGAAGAAGGGAGACTGTTACACGATTCTTGAAAACTAAAATCCACCCATAGCACATCTTCCACAGAGAGGAAGCAATTTAACGCATGAAAGAGCAAAGCAAATCTTTTGGCAATCAACAACTGATGCTTGCAGTGTGGGTTTCCATCCTATAAACACTGTTTTTCATGTTTCTTCTGAGTTTCCAACAACCTGCAGCCTTCCCTTGGCTGGATACATAGGAGGACCCCCACCACCACCCCTCAGGAGGGCAGCATTGAGACAGAAGCACAAAGGCAAATGCCCCACTGCTCTTGAGGAACCCTAGCTACAGAATTAACAAAGGGAAGTGAAATTGCTATGCAGCTAATATTATGCAGGAGAGAATAGTGAGCAGAGAGATTCATGACATGGATAGATCATTTAATAATTTATACCTAATCCTGAATTGTACCCCACATGTTTAAAATTTAAAAAGAATAGACAACCCCTTCAGGTCTCCTCCTACTGTGGGAACTTCTCTGTCCTCTCAATAAATCCTGATTTTAAAAAATCAAATTTTAAAGGAAGACAAAAATAAATAAAAATAAGCAATAACTACCAATTTTATTAATATATTTATCTTTATCCTTTTAATAAGTCTATATGTTAGGAAGAATATTTAAAATGAGGTATGTAAGGCTAGAGAGGTCAAGTAATTTATCTAATATGTAAAAATCTACTTTAGCAAAACATAAATGAGCAGATCTTAAATATTGTCAGATGGGAAACATAGCAAAAGTCACCATTGTGCAATGCAAAAATGGGTATATACATTCCAGGCAAGGCAACGTATTTGCATTTTTTTCTCCTGTTTAAACTCTCTACTTGAATACCTGTTTTATGTGAGGTCTCCCCAGTGAGAGTGCACATGTTCCTCACTCAAGAAGACACAGCCTTCTTTATTCCAGAAGCCCCCAAGAACTACAGCATGAACCAGTGGCGTGTGCTCACTCATAGTAAGGTGGATTGGATCACATGCCTCACCATCAGCCTAAATCTCTATTTACATTTTTCTCCACATAGGACATGAACAACCCTATAAAATTCACATGAGCCTCCTTCAAACCACTGGGCTCCTGCCAGAGAACTCCATCTCTCCTACCCTCCAGGAGCCCATCCAGGAGCAGCCATCCCTAGACATGCAAGGTGGTTCATCCTGAAGCCCAGGCACCTATCTAAAGGCCAGCAGGAAAGTGGTGAGTCCCTTTCCTTCCTACCAGTGCCTTCTCTCAACTTGTCTCCATTTCCAAAAACAAATACATGACACAGAGATATTCACCTGTGGGGAGGCAGACAGTGTAGACAGGGATCCTCTGCCTGCCCAGAATCAGTCTCTGAGAAACCTCCAAGGTCATAGTCGAGACCAAATTCACTCTTAGGAAGATTCTTTTCATTCCTCGAAGTTGGAAGATACTCCCTTTTCTGTATCCCCAGAGCACTGTACATATATAGTTATGTGTTTGCACTCTGTGTGTCTCATTAGATTATGACTTCTAAAGGCCTGGGAACTCATGTCTTTCTTCTCCCAGGGCTTTGCTCAGTATCTGGGACCAAGCAGAGAGTGATCAAATGACTGCGTGACTTAGACACACCTGGATGAAAGATCTAGCGAGGACCAGATTTATAGCATTGAACTGAAATTTGTTCTGGACTGGGGCTGAAGCACCCATGGGGTTCTAGCCTGGATTGAACTCTCAATCCTACTCATCCCCCCACCAAGCTTTCTTTCCAAGTCGGCTTCTTGGAAATCTGGGTCTAGACTACAACTGGACTGAACATTTTTGGTAGAGACTTTTGAATATTCCTTCTTTACCATATTTCCTAGTACCATTATTGTACTCTCCCATTAATTTTACTTTCATTGAAGAAAATGTACCATTATAATTTGGGAAAGATTTGGCAAGAACGGAATTTTTACTTAAAGTATTTTTATTGTTATGATGCTATCTCATAAGCACAAAGTTTCAAAATTTTTATTTTTAATATTTGTGCCCCTATTTGAGCATAAGAAAACCACTAACAGATCATTTCAGATCTGCTTAAGAAAGGCTAGACTCCAATAAAGTTAGTTTGCTTAATCACCCCATATTTTTTATGACAATAGATATGTTTTATTGTTTAGAGAAGCAGCATGACCTCATACAAAATAATGCACATGACAAAATGTGTAGCTAAGCCTGAAACTATTTTTAAGAAAGTGCAAGACTCAATGTCTACTTTGCTCTCTGACTTTGTTATTAGGTGTATAGTTTTATATAAAGGGATATATCATTCTTCTTAATTGTACGCTCTTACTAAAGATAAAGAACTGAATATATTTGGATAGGTTAGAAACAAAATCATGTTAAAAGTAGGGATATCAGGCAATGTATGGTTACTCAACTTATCTGTTAATGTGTATATGCTGACATACAGAGTGTCCTGCTGGATTTAGGAATGTATTTGCTTTCTTACTTATCTCCTTTCAAATAGGTGAAAAAACTGCATACCTCCTGGAGGATGCCAAACCATTGTTGGAGGGGAGTAGGATCTGTTTTGAGGGAAGGAGACTGACATCTAGGCTGCCTAAGGTCATCTGAGTGAGGGATAATTACTTTATCAGTACTGCTATCAACAATTCTTTTTGCTGGATAGCACATTATATTACTCACTTTAATGAGTAATCATTGCATCAGAGTGGAGCAGAGTGAAGCTCAAAGAGTTTTGAGTAACTTGTCCAATGGAGAGGGAGAACCAGGACCCATCTTCTCGTCTCTGATCCAGCACAATGAGCATTTCCACTATGTGAGTGTACTTGGTGATGCATTCAACATCTCAGAGAAGCCAAGTGGATTAAGGTTGTGCACCTGTTTATATTTCTAAACTTAGTTCCATTATTGAATTTTTCAGAATTTGGTAGAAGGGGCTTTTAAAGGAAATATTAAAATACAGCAGAACAGTAGGAACTGAGAGCTCAGTTTTTATTGATGATTAATTATTCTATGAAAAGCTCTTCTTTAGCATTCCTTTGACAAGGATGTTGCATAGATAAAAACCACTTCTGGGAAGGTTGGCAGGTGTCACAAGGAACAAAACGACCTGGGGTCTTACCACACAACCAAGGACTGACTAGAGAAGGTGTAGTCGAATCATCCACAGAGCTACCTGAGAGTTGCATCCTTCAGAAAAAAGAAGTCCAAGGTTGACTGAAAAGTAAAGCCAGATGCACTGTATGCTGAAGATCCCTTTGATGGGAGAAAGCTGACCATGGTTAGGCACTTTGAAAGACAAACAGGAAATCTGAGTGGCAGGAGACTTAATATAAAATTGGATAATTACTAAACTGCTTGATTTAGCTTACTGAAGTCTGAGAACTCCTGGTCTCAATGGGTCTCTCCACCGCAGCCTCCTAAATATCTAGAATTACTGATGTGCACCACCACACTTGAATATTTTTAGCTCTTCAAATGGTATATGACTCCTGAATCCACTATCGTACTTAGCATCAGGAAATTTGTACAGCTAGATGTTAATTACCTCATGATAGAGTGCAACAGGTGGTAGACAGCACTGTTGAGGAAAGATTTATACTGAAAAAATGGAACATATGTTTGTCCAAACCTCCTGGTTTAGCTTCAGTCTGGAGGACATGGGCAAGAACACATTAATACCACAAGAATGCAATTAGCCAATGTCATAATGTGGGCAATTCTGTACAACACATGATTCCATCTCTCTCTCTTTTGGCCATTGCAACAAATATACTGAAAAAGAAAATACAGTAAGTTCCCTACATATGAACCTTCAAGTTGCAAACTTTCAAGGATGCAAATATGTGTTCACATGTCCAATCATGTAAGTTAGTTCACGTGTCTGATGTACATTGTCATGCATATTAATCCTCTCCAAGTGATAGTGCTTTTGTATGTATGTTTTCTTTATATATTATTTGCATGAAAAGTTCCATAATTTATTGCCTTATAGTACCAAGTAGCTGACTATGTTAGTTGAGTACTTAAGCTACCTTTCTTGGGCATATGTGCCATTTGGACTTCCAATGTGCTCTCAGAACAGAACTCGTTCGTTTTTAGAGACTTATTGAAGTGGAAATAAAGTTAGGTCAATTAAATGACACATGAAATAATCTCAATTTTTACAGAATCAGATCAGAAGATGGTGAAGAAGAGATGGCCAATAATGAACTGGGCCTTTTGTCAGCAATCCAATACCTGCAAGAAGATGGTCGATGATAAACTGGGCACTGGGCATCTCAGCCTCCAGAGTGAAGAGGCTCCACCAGGCCCAAAGCCTGAACAGCTCTTTGGTGTTCCTCTCAGTGATGTTTGTAAAAATGACAACCTGACAACTCCTGTTCTAGTAGGTTTTGTTTTGGTCTTCCATAGTCTTCTTAAGGAGACAGAATTCTGGGGAGTCGAGTGGTCTCATCCAAAACTCACCACTAAATGGAAAGATCATTAGACAATCATTAGTTTGGCAGAAGTTTGTCAAGGTTATTTAGAGTAATAAAAATCTGATTTTGGTACTGTAGGATCATAAGACAAACACAAGAGAGAAAACTACTCTGGTTTCAACAAAGACTCACATACACTTGCTCGCATAAATCAGAATAGTCTCTGTGTGAATGAGTCTCTGTGGCTTCCCCTCCCCTCACATTCTCCCTTGGGCTTCTTTCTTGAACTCTACACAAGTGTCGAGTCTCCTTTGCTTACATGTTGACCTGAGACTACTCAAGCTTACAGTTCAAAATATCTCACGTGTGTTTTATTTATATTTCAAGTATTTAAGCATAGAAAATTATCTCTTGGCATATATTCACCCTCTTATCTTAAAAGACTGTATCAAATTAAAGGCTCAGAGATTGGCCTGTGTTATTTCAAGTGAATGCACTAAATACTCAGTGGTAACATTGAGTGTCTCATATCTCATCAAGCACTATACTAGATATAGGGAATTTTATACCTGATGTGAAGGAATGTATCATTTCAGGTAAATGCTGGATACGGCCACAGACCTTGCTTCTTTTCCAATAAATTTGGGGGGTGGCTGTGATTATCATTGTCCCTAATTCACAAATTCTTTTTTTAAAAAAGCTTGAATAAAGTTGTATATTGTGCCCTAAGATCACACAACAAATAAACTACACGCTAAATACAAATCCCTGAGTTCTCTGGTTATAATGCTTATTATCTTGTCACATTACAAGCAGAGGGCATAAAGAATGGAGCAGGGGGAAGGGGCAAGATGGCGACCGGGCAACCCGGTGTCTGAAGCCCTCTACAAGGGAGATCTGCAGTGGGTCTCTGACTCTCGCCCCGGGAGGCTGGGGACCCCAGCATTGCAGCCTGCTCTTCAGACAGAGCTCGGCCATCACTGTCGCTGGAACATCGCAACTGACTGGACAGTTTTACTGCATTGCACTGTCCCGTGGCTGCCGCAGCCCCTCCCCCCACCAGAACTCCCGTCGCCGCCGCGGCCGCCGCCGCCACCGCTGCGGCCTCTGGCACGGGTAGCTCATCACAACCCGGCCGGAGGAGATCCACACCAAACCGCTTCAGGGAAGATCTGCTGGGATCGCTGCCACCGCTCCTGCGTCCGAGACTGTCCTGTCCGCCTGGCGTGGGGATCCGGTTGCCTGCTCGGAGGCAGGCAGCCATCTTGTTCCTGTCCGGCCCCACCCCCTCTAGGGCGAGCAGATGAGATAGCACCACCTGCTGGCGATTCAAGGTAACAACACCGAAACGGGAGAAACAAGCTTGATAAAGACATAGACCAAACTTCTGAACCGAGGTTATTCTGAACTGTCCTTCACAGCAGATCAGGGGAACTGACCCTAACTGCAAACTAATTTACCAGCTTGAAAAGAAAACTAGAAATCAG